CACCTGCGCACCACGGCGGCAAAACGCCCGTGCGCCACGTGTCAGGGGCAGAAAAGCGCCTGTGCACCACGCGGCGCAGCGGCAAAATGCCCGCGCGCCGCGCGTCAGGGGTGGAAAAGCACCTGCGCACCACGGCGGCAAAACGCCCGTGCGCCGCACGTCAGGGGCAGAAAAGCGCCCGCGCGCCACGCATCAGGGGCGCGGCGGGGCGGCAAAACGCCCGCGTGCCATGCAGCGGGGCAGAAAAATGCCCACGGACCACGTGTCAGGGGCAAAAAAATGTCCGCAGACCACGTGTCAGGACGGAAAAATGGCCGCGGACCACGTGTCAGGTGGAAAAATGGCCGTACCTCGAGGTGGAGTTCGCACATCGAGGTAAATTTTTGGAGCCAGAGCTGGTCATATCTTGAAAATTTCGTAAGTAGGGGCGTTCGTAAGTAGAGATACCACTGTATAATGTTTTAAAAATATAACCTTTAAATATATTTGTGAAGACAGAGCTAATAATTTCCACTGTCTCCCAGTAATGTTACCCTCATACAGCAAAACATAAATCAAGAATAATGATCCACTGAAGGTGTGACTGACCATAAAGTCTAAGGACTTAAGGCTGCCAGTCTTGTGGCTGCCTCACATATTGGTTGGGGAGGAGGTGAGGGCATTGTTATGAAGACAAGGCAGAAAAAAGAGGTTATTGTGTTGACGTAGATGAGTTGGGGAAAGGCCCTGTTACAGCTAAGCCCAAGAGTCTTTGGTACTTTAAAGACAGACTTTGCTTAAGCTGTAGCTAGAAGTCAGGCAGAGAAGCATCTGGGAAAGGCAGGCACATTTTTAAGAGCATTCCAATGCTAAAGGCAAGAAACTGTGTTATTCAATCTAAAATACTTATCATGATTGTCTCTGCAAGCAATTATCTTGCATGAAAGAAAAGTATTTTAGCACAAGGATGGGTATATAGTTCTCCCAAGTACTGTACTTAAATACAACCCCTTGAAATCCTCAGCTTGCAGTAAGAGCTGTGATTCCAGCTGGAAGGTCAACCTAGATTGCAAGTTTCCTCCTAGTGCACCTTAAAGCAATATGCACACACATGCTCTAAGGAAGTGTTTCTCAAGCTTAGCAACTTTAAGATATGTGGACTTCAGCTCCCAGAATTCCCCAGCCAGCATGCTGGGTTTCTAGATAATTTCTACTGGATGGAGATAGATCCAACTAAACAGATGGATTTATTCCATCAAAATGGTGGATGGGGAGGGCATCAATAACTAATTATTTCAGGAGCCCAAGAGTAAGTCTCAAGTGCAACTTGAAAGCATCACAAGTCCAAATGGAACTGAATTTCAGTGTCTGCCCGTTTCATTTCACTGAATGTTGAAGATTATGGCTCAAGATTTAGAAGATGAGTCTGGAAATTATCTCACATCATAACCCACCAGTCAGATCCTCCCTGCCCGATCTCACTTGAGTTCTGAAGAATTCAAAAGCTTGCACGCTATTAACTGATAATCTGCTCGGCCTCATAAAGCTACTCCCCTAACATGGGACGCTGGAATCCACTGCCTGCGATGCTCTTCCGTTACCTTCATTCATACAGCGCTCACTTAGAAACATTCGCACTCAGCGAGGCACGCTTCTGTTCTGCTCCCTCACCTTTGTATGAACGCGTGAGGTCTGATTCCCGAGTGCGGGGAAAGAAGAGGAACCCCTAACCCCGCATGGCTAAACTTCAACCCCGACCTTGGCGCCAAGCCCCGCAGCAAAATCAAACCGCTGCGCTGCCGGAGCGTGGCCTCGGCAGCCTCTCGTGGCCCGTGATGGCGGCGGCTGCCATGCATTCCAACGGGGAGACCGTTGCTATAGCAACCGCGAGCGAGCTGCTTCTTTCCTAGAATCGTTCGCCTTCACCGCTCCGTCTCCTGGGAGGCGTCTTTCCTGGGAAAGGCCCGAAATAGACGCCCCCGCTTTCCCCTCGAATACGCTGCCGTGTCCTGCCGAAGAAATGGGCACTGTCTTCAAGCAATGAAAACGCGGGCGCAAACTCCTGAATTTGTAACCGAGCTAGGCAGGCTACTTCCCTTTGTTCTCTATCCCAGGCAGGCTTCTTCCACTTGGAAGAAATTCAGCATAACTCCTATCACACTCGTATCGCTGTGCTGCATCAGAAACCCCACCTGTGGGATTCTACCGTTCCTTCATAACTGCTAACAGCACAGGACTCCAAGCAGAGAAGGAGAAGAGAGGCAAATAACTGAGTACTCTTCTCTTAATTAGCTTGTACTCACCGGTTGCACTGTGCCCTATTTGCAACTCTGCTACTTACTGAGAGAGAGTTGGTGAAATCACTTCGAGGGGGCAACAGCACTCCTACCTGCCTGCTGGCATTGCGAAGGTTGTTGGTTCCCCTCCCAGTCTTCCTGTCCTGGAAAGATCCCGCAGAAATTGACAAGAGCTCATCTCAACTCTGAATCCCCATGCAGTGAAATGGAGAGGACTTGCAACTTCTGGTTGTAGCTGTCCACATTTCTGAACACTGTGAGACAATCTGCCACCTGTACAAATACATCATGCTTTTATATTTGATATGGAATAGGTACATTAACTGAAAATTATGTGTATATAAGTCTTTTGTTTCTGACTTTGGCAGCAGTTGGCAGTATTAGTACTCTGATTAGTCTTTCCCATGTGATACCATTTTTGGAATATGTAAGGAATTTCAGCCAGCCCACAAGCTGTCATTTCCCATTTTTTGTGTAAACACAGAATGTAAACACTGAAATAGATTTGGGAAGAGCATTCATTTTGACGGATTAAATGAAATGTTGCTAAGCATAGAGTTGTTTAATAAATTTGCAGCTGTTTTCTGCTGTTGTCTTTTTATGGGTTTATAATTTTAAATCGCATTTTACAATCAAGTAAATTGAATAATAATAAGACTGGGGAAATACTGAAAGAATCCTAATTCTTGAGATATAATAAATATCTTCAACAAGAAATGTTAAATTAAGCTTTAAGTAGCTTGATTTATAGCTATTTAGCTCACAGCAGCTAAAAAAGCAAAAGAGATTATGTAGCTAAAACCTTAGTATGCATTACTGAAAAGAAAAACAAAGGATTTGGTGCTTAGGATTCAAAAAGATAAATGTGGTGTGAGAAGCATGGATGAGAAAAAAATGAGCAAATTCACCTATGAATAAAGAATAGAAATGAATTATAGTAGTATAAATAATATCTTTTACATGTCATTGTAAAAGTGTTTGTCTCTTGGACACCTTTGCAACCTGTTCTTATACATAGCCTGCCAAAGGAATAAATACAGATTATGCAATTTAGAATCTATCAAGCTTCCCTCCCATGGACAGAAGATTGTAATCAATGGGAAATGTGAATCAGTAAGCTATAGCTTCCAGTTAATGAGAAGAGATGGGAGCTGTCTTATTCT